AGTCAATGTGACCTGACCTGACTAGGTTGGGTGCATTGGCTTAAGCCGGTAGGAGACTTGGACCTGCCTCGCATGGGCCAGTAGGCCTTCTCAGTGTTCCTTCGTTCTTATGTTAACTGGGGTTTACTCCCCCCATCCCCCCGCCCTTGGATTTCATGGGGGTGACACCAACAATGCCACCTCGGTGACACCAACGCTAAGCGACGCCACTGCGTAACAGTGATGCTTTGTGCACCAGTGTGACATGTTTATCGTGAGTGGTAAACATAGTGATGACGAGTGACTCCATACATAGCTGGAACCTTGAGTGTCATGAAAGGATCATTGGTTTGTGATTGCCTGGTGGCACGGTGTAAACTAGTTTACCTAAACAGTTGGAAGAAACCTGTGCGTCCATACTAAGGTTCAACGTTCACTAGATTGGAAAATGTCAGTAATTGGTTCTGAGGTACACAGTGTGCACTGATGCACTTCATTATATATATACTGTAGATAAAGATGTTCGTAGAGGCCCGTAGGCAGGCATTCGACCTGCACCGTAGAAACACTCGTTTATTTTGTTACTGGTCGTAGTACCCTTGTTGCCTTGCTCCGTTGGGTTGAGCAATAACACTTTCGGCGGCTAACTCTCCTTGGGCACAGGCAGCCTGCTGGTGTCTCCACCAACAGTTCTGGAAGACCCGGCTCCTTTCTGGAAATTGCCATCCAAGCTTACGCCGCACTTTGCACCATTCTTACCGACTGCATTAATGTACAAAGGGACTGATGTTATGCAAGACAGGGATATCTTTAACAGCTACAAGCCTGGTCCAGCAACTGAAATAAATTTTTTTTTTTCAAAAATGTACACGTGTAATTTGAAAAGTCCTTAGTATGCTCATTATTTCAGGCACGCTTAGACCAAAACTATATACACTATATACATATTACTAAAAAATATTAAAGAACATAAAGGGGAACGGAACTATATACATGTACAGGTAACCCGCACATCAACACATCAACCAGATAACTGCTGCAGCATATGGGCGCCTGGCAAACCTGAGATTAGCATTCCGATACCTAAGTAAGGAATCTTTCAAGACACTGTACACCGTGTACGTCAGGCCCATACTGGAGTATGCAGCACCTGTTTGGAACCCGCACCGGGTCAAGCAGGTTAAGCAATTAGAGTGCAAAGGTTTGCAACAAGGTTAGTTCCAGAGCTAAGGGGAATGTCCTATGAAGAAAGGTTGAGGGAAATCAGCCTGACGACACTGGAGGACAAGAGGGATAGGGGAGACATGATAACGACATACAAAATACTGCGTGGAATAGACAAGGTGGGCAGAGACGAGATGTTCCAGAGAGGGGACACAGAAACAAAGGGTTGTTACTCTTGGAAGTTGAAGACTCAGATGAGCCACAAGGATGTTAGGAAGCATTTCTTCAGTCATAGAGTGGTCAGGAAGTGGAAGTCTGGCGAGCGATGTAGTGAAGGCAGGAACCATACGTAGCTTTAAGACGAGGTATAATAAAGCTCATGGAGCAGGGAGAGAGAGGACCTAGTAGCGTTCAGTGAAAAGGCGGGGCCAGGAGCAGAGTATCGACCCCTGCAACTACAATTAGGTGAGCACATAGAATGAAAATTTGACGTTTTGGTCCGACTTGGGCCATTAACTAGTCCCAAGTCGAACTGAAACGTTGTCAGTTTCATTCTCCTATGCGGGTTGTGCAAAAATATTATATAGATGCAATATTTATGCTTATGAGTCACGTACAAGGTATGAATAGATTAATTTTTTATTTTGACAATTTACATGGTTGTACAGAGGAATATAATAGTTGGGTGTACATGCCAAAATAGGAAGTTAAAAATATTTTAAATAGAAATTAAAAGATTACCCAGTGAAAAGGACAAAATGATATTTTTTAAACTTAAGCTAAGATTTGCCTTGGGAGATTCATGGGAAAAAATGATTTGAGTGGAGCGAACAGCGTAAATTGTGAGAGTATATTACGTAAGATTGAGTATATTGTACCTACTGCCTACGGTTTTTCGAATTTTAATGGGTGGGGTGGTGTTATTAAACATTGTCGGCTACCATAGCAACATTCTAGTTCAACATTAACACATACCAGCCCATTTTGGAACCACTATTATTCAAGAGCAACAGAACTTTTTAACTGGAAGCCCGCAACATACTAGGCAAATCAGAGCAACGCAAGAGAATCCAATATGTACCTGCAGAACCCATGCCTGAACATCTTTATGGCTTCCCACAGACGCGCATGCCTGGTATCCCACGTGTCCTGTTGCTTCAGGCATAGAAAGGTTCTCCCACAGATTAGCTGGTCATCATGCCATTCTGGTGACCTCATATTTACAGCCTGAATGTAAAAAAAAAAAAACCACATCTTTCAATATTTCTTTTTAACTAACGTACCCACAGAGGCTACCATTAATATGCTGAGATGGAGGCTCACTGGCAGCCACAATCTCGCATTACCTCCAGAATTTTCAGTCTAGTAGACCTGTTAAATGTAAATGTTACAAAGTTTTGGAATGGCAATGGACAGCCTCCTCTCACTGCTGTGCTTGCCAACCTGTTCATGGATGACTGAGAAATTCAGTACCATTATTCCCAACACTTTCTTGTCTTAAATCATGTTTGATATCTTGGTAATCTGTCCCAGATTTTGTAATATGCAGGACCTTCTCAACTAAGTCAACAAAGGTGAGCCATATGTCTAGTTCACTTTAGGACTTAAACAAGAATGAAGATTCTTTCCTTGACGTCCTCCTGTGCATGTCTTCGACCAACATGATAATCTTGTGCACTTATACTCACACCATGTCATTTGCACCAAAAAAATTTTCTAATTTGTTTCTTCTTTATATAGTTAAAAATATCTTCAGGCTTTTTCTTGAAGATTGTACATGTATATTACAAGCCTTCACGTTTTCACATACCCTTTTTCTTCATCCCGGACCACAGGCTCAAGGCCTTAGCCATCGTCAGTAAACTTGAGGAATGGGAGGCATCTATGTTCAATCCAAGGAAGGGGAGGTTGTCCCATTCCTTGGATCAGGAGCTTCCTCGCAGGCATCCGAGTACTTTGAGGACCCTCCTCCAACAGGAATTGTCACTCGAGACTAATTAGTTGAGTGAGTGAGCTCACATCCCACCCATCAATCAGTCAATCAAGTTTATTCTCTATAAGGATTACAATGCGGAGTTTACAGATTTTGGTTATTGTGTGGTTTACATGTAAAAATACTAATTACAAAGGGGGCCACTAGGACACCTAGCACGGCTAGGCATTTCGGGCAAACTTAAGATTAATTCTTAACCCTAAATTATTACAAATTATGGAGTAAGTTGACTAAATACTAAGTGACTAATACTAGTTTGTGAGTTCAGAAATGTGAATGCTTTTGTTTTGGCACAATACATAGTTTCTATATTGGAGTATCACAGGCAAACTTATGACTAGTTAGGAATCATTATTTTAAGATTAAGATTCGTATTTCTGTGCTTAGTCAAATGGATGAGTGAGTGAGTGAGTGTAAGTGTGAACCACCATGTGGTTTTTATGTAGTTAGTTGACGGGGTGTATCAGAGAGATAAGATGTTTTCTAACGGTAGTTTTGAAGGTGATGAATGTGTCTGCAGTTCTAAAGTTTTCAGGTAGGGTGTTCCAGATTTTAGGGCCTTTGACATGCATTGAATTTTTGTAAAGGTTTAGTCGGACACTGGGAATGTCGTAGAGATATTTGTCTGGTGTTATGCCTGTGGGTCTTGTCACAACTATCAAGAAAGCATTTTAGGTCAAGGTTAATATTGGAATTTAAGGTCCTGTAGCTGTAGATTGCACAGTAGTAAGTGTGGATGTTCTGAACAGGGAGTAAGTTTAGATCTATGAAGAGTGGGGGGGGGGGCTGTTGCCAGGGATTGGATTTAGTGATTATTCTTACTGCGGCTTTTTGTTGGGTTATTATTGGCTTCAGGTGTGTTGCTGCAGTTGATCCCCAAGCATAAATAGCATAGGTGAGATATGGATAAATGAGTGAATGAATGGCATAGTGTGAGAAGGGCATTTTGCGGCATGTAGTATTGTATCTTGGAGAGAATCCCAACTGTTTTGGATACTTTTTTTTTTGCTACGGGTTGGATGTGGGTGCTGAAATTCAGGTTGTTATCGAGGTATAGGCCTAGGAATTTGCCCTCATTATGTCTGGCAATTAGAGTATTGTCGATCTTAATGTTAAGTTGCGCAACACCTGCTCTGCTACGAAACATAATAAAGTAGGTTTTGTCAGTGTTAAGTGTAAGTTTATTGGATGTCATCCAAGTCAATATTTTGAGCAGCTCCTCGTTAACAATGGTGTTGAGGGTGGGAAGATTAGGGTGAGAGATGACACGTGTCATCAGCAAAAAGAATGGGTTTCAGGTGTTTGGAAGATCATTGATGTAAATGAGGAAGAGCAGGGGACCAAGGACACTTCCCTGTGGAACTCCAGTATCAAGTGGCCCTGTTGATGATGCTGTGTCTTTAATGGTGACATACTGATACCTATTAGTAAGGTAGGATTTGAAATGTGCAAGCACATGGCCTCTTATACCATAATGGTCAAGTTTGTGGAGTCAAAAGCTTTTCTTAGGTCAATAAAAATTCCTAGGCCATGGCCACTTGTTTTTAGGTGCTATATATTGCTTTGCTGTGTAGCTTAGTGCAGCTGGTTGTGGAGCACATTAATAGTTTGCCCATGGATTAGGCATTTCTGCTTTAGTCAATTTTTATGATTACTGGGCTGCCTTTAGGAATGACAGAACACACACTTTTGACATTTAATGGCATTTTTAATTAATGCTATTTATTTTAGCCTGGTATGATAGTATTTATTTGTTAATTTATTTTTTCTTTAACATTTTTTTATCGAGAGTCGAATGATCTACATAATAAATGCTCTAAAATTTTTTAAAACTACCTTCAGCCAGACTGTTGTATTTTTTCAGTGTGCAGTACTAGTAACAGCAACAAAGGCAGAAACTTCTAAAGCAGTTAATATACAAACTTGAAGATGGTGTCTCATTGGACTATTGATGTGGTGGTGATGCTAGCACTGGTGTCTGCAGCATCAGCCCTCAAGTGCTACAAATGTAAAGACTGTGCTAACCAGTCTGCCCAGGTTGAAGAATGTTCTTATAACTATGATACCTGTATGGTTAGTAGTCAGTCTAGTTCTTACTGATGTATAATTGTCATTTAACTTTTTTGTTGAATGTGGAGTTGACGGAGATAATGTCTGGACAGATCATTTTTTCTTAAGTAAAGCTATTTGTCAATTTGTTTCTAATATAATTAATGAAATTAGTACATTAGGAATACATGTATACTGTATATATAATGAATGTTATATTCATGGGGGGAGCATTAAATCATAGGAGTCATACAGTGCCTGGGGTTAATGGAAAGCATTCAGGTTTGTTTCAGAGAAAACTGTGATTGCTAAATTTTAAATATAACCCACTAATTTGACATTTCAGAAAATTGATCTTAGTGGCCATGTAATCAAGGGTTGTAGTAGAAGGGTTGAATGCAGCTTGGGAACCATTGAACGTGGAGCCGTCGACGCTTGGAACTCTGTTAAGAATTGGATAGCAAATCTACATGAAGGTGAGTTTTAAATGCTAGCATAAAGAACACGTAAAGTTACTTAGTGTGCCCCCGTAAAATAATGTACAGTGAAACCTCATTGGATTTGGTCCATTGTGTGGGGAACCTATTGTGTACTCATTACTGCTAATGACCAAAATATTGGTAGGGTTGGCTTGGTCCATTGCATTGAACATTTGTCCTGCCAAATATTATGTTTGAAATCCATTGCATAGGGGTCGGTTATATCGAGGTTATACTGTACTTTTAAAAATGAAACTACATTACTAATGTATGTGGGCAGTACATAAATGCTCTTCAAATTTCACAACTGATTTAGTTTTCACTGCAGAAATCTTGTTTATGCCATAGTAGAGGGGAAAACAATTATTAGTGGTCTACCATTTATTACTTTTAAGGACTGCCCACCACAAGAAACCAACCTCCCATAGTGCTACATTCTGACAGAGGAGGGAGGGGTGGGTGACGATTCCCATATTGACACTTGCGTGTGGCACTCAAGGGATGCCCAATACTTCTCCATATTTATTTTATTTGTAAATGTTATTGATGGTACCACATAGAATAATTTATGTAATGTACAGTGAAGTTCTAAGTTTGTTGCTTATTGAAGTAATCAGTATAACTAGAGTAATAGGGGGATTGTGTGTCCATTAATCAGAATAATTTGAAAAGGCACAGAAAAAGCACCAAAGCAATTTACTCTGTACCTGATGTAGTACTGTACATGGGGCTTACACATACTGTAATTAACATTGAAAATAAATGTTAAGTATGGTTTACCCCAGTGAATTTTGTTGCTTCAAAAGTCCATTAGAGAGATCTGTTACATGGAGGGTTTATAAATAACATGGCTGATAATGTTTTTAGAGTGGGATTACTTGGGAATAGTTGCTGTACTTTCTCTTAATTGTATTATTAAGGTTTTCCTGTACTTGCTCTTGTGGATAATATGGAGGACAATAATTAAATTGATAATAATAATAGTTTATTTCTCTATGCCATACAAATGTAGTTTAAATGTATTACTACATAGACACAAAAGAAAGCCACTAATTGTGCTGTGAATTTTGGGCAACTACTCATAAGGTTTACATGCTAGAACTAGACAGTCTGTTATGTAAGATTTCTTGTGTAGTTAATTTCAATCATAAGTGGAGTAAAAAAGGTAGCTAATGACAAAAGGTCAGTTACAAAAACTTTGCATACTTAAACCGATTCATCGATTGAATAGAGATGGTGACAATACAAGAAGATACTTGGGTTACAATACAAATGAAGTGGGACAAGATATGTTATCAATTGTGTATAAGAGTTGAAGGAAGGCTGGAAGAACAGGGACAGAATTAGATGAAAGCTAATTTTGTTTGACATATCATTATCTTTGTAACTTGCTCAGCTATCAAAACTTTAGGGCCTAGCCCCTGAACCCGTTATGTACCTCTGTAATCTTTTGACTACTGCCCACAGGATGGGTATGGGGTGCATAATAAACGTTAATATTAAACTAACATGGCATATTGCTGTCTTGATTACATTAAGGAGACAAGGTGCTTTTTAGCAATAGCTCTTGATAGATTACGAAAGCACTTGGTAAATTTGTTTATACCCGTGATGAGTATTGAAGACAGTGAATCATTGAAAATGTCCTTAATTGTGGATTTCATCAGTGTGTACTTGGACTGAAATATAATGGTACAGTATAATTATGTTTGAGAGAATAGGATACTTTTGGCTCCATGTGAAATTCCTCGTGATACTTTAACAAAGGTAGTAGGTTGGTAGACAGCAACCACCCAGGGAGGTACTACTGTTCTACCAAATGAGTGTGAAACAGAAGCCTGTAATTGTTTTGCATGATGGTAGGATTGCTGGTGTCTTTTTCTGTCTCATAAATGTGCAAGATTTCAGGTACGTCTTGCTACTTCTACTTACACTTAGGTTTTGGAGTGAGATTAATAAGTTAAGAAAGGCTAGAGAATGAATGGATTTGTTAGTTAATAATAGGAGGGGAGAGTTATTAAATGGAGACTTAGAGGTATCAGGAAGATGGAGGGAATATTTTGAGGAACTGTTAAATGTCAAAGATAGGGAAGCTGTGATTTCGTGTATAGGGCAAGGAGGAATAACATCTTATAGGAGTGAGAAAGAACCAGTTGTGAGTGTGGGGGGAAGTGTGTGGGGCAGTGGGTAAAATGAAAGAGGGTAAAGTAGCTGGGATTGATGGGATAAAGATAGAAATGTTAAAAGCAGGTGGGGATATAGTTTTGGAGTGGTTGTCTTTATTTAATAAATGTATGGAAGAGGGTAAGGTACCTAGGGATTGGCAGAGAGCATGCATAGTTCCTTTGTATAAATTATTATTATTATAATCGAGGGGGAAGTGCTAAACCCGGAGGATTATACAGCACCTGGGGGGGGGAATGTGGAAGGCATTCAGGCTTAATTCGGGGAACTGGAGCACAGATCCAATTCCCTAAATCAAGAGCCCCTCACCAACATCAAGGAACCTTCCTTGAGGGGTCCTTTGTATAAAGGCAAAAGGGACAAAAGAGTGTAAAAATTATAGGGGAGTAAGTCTGTTGAGTATACCTGGTAAAGTCAATATGTGTATGCAAATGGGGCAAACTCTTCTGCACAACCAATTACAGTTGGTGTCCCACAGGGAAGTGTCCTTGGCCCTCTTCTCTTTCTCCTATACATAAATGACCTACCAAATGCTTCGCAATTACTCAAACCCACACTATTTGCAGATGACACTACATACGTCTTCTCCCACCCGAGCCCAGTCACGCTAGCCAATACTGTAAATACCGAATTACAGAAAATATCTACCTGGATGAGGACTAACAAACTTACACTAAACATTGACAAAAACCTACTTCATTCAGTTTGGTAACAGAGCTACAGATGTCCCTCTTAACATAATGATAAACGGATCACCTATCACAAAGCTAACAGAGGGAAAATTCCTAGGAATCCACCTTGATAATAGACTCAAATTTCATACACATATACAACAAATTTCTAAGAAAATTTCCAAGACTGTAGGCATACTATCGAAGATACGGTACTATGCTCCACAGTCAGCCCTCCTGGCCCTATATCACTCTCTTATTTACCCCTATCTCACCTATGGAATTTGTGCATGGGGCTCAACAACAAGTAACCATCTCAGACCACTAATTACCCAACAAAAGGCTGCAGTTAGAATGATAACAAATTCTCACTATAGGCAGCACACTCCACCAATATTCAATACACTAAACCTACTCACCATACAAAACATCCATACTTATTACTGCACCTATTACATACATAGAACACTTAACTCTGATATTAACCCTCCCCTCAAACATCTCCTTGCCAACCTCAACAGAACACATGACCATAACACAAGGCACAGATCACTCTTTGATGTACCTCGTGTCCATCTCACACTATGCAAAAACTCAATGCACATAAAAGGCCCTAAAATCTGGAATTCATTACCTGTAAATATAAAAGAAACACTACCTGTTTATAAATTCAAGTCTCTTCTCAAAGATCACTTACTCACCCAAAACCAAATAAATACTGAATAACTGAACCTTATAAATTGTATATCTTAAATGTTTCTCACAATTATATCACATAAATGTTAAACCTAAAACCCAATCTAACTTTATTATTTTTTAAATACACTACCTAACAGAATACTCCATTCTACTGAATGTACAACAATGCATACAACCATATGACCTGTCTTTGTAATACTCACTTGTGCTTTATAGTAATCTGTTTACATTAAAGTTTTATCACTGATATCATCATTGCTTAGTTAATCTTAAGTTAATTTTAAGCCAGCCCGTAATGCTATGCATAGTATAAGTGGCTTTGGCATGCTGCTCTTATCTGTATTTTTTGTACCTCTGTATGTGTGCTCAAATTTTTAAATAAATAAATAAATAAATAAATAAAAGAATTAAGAGTAAGATGGAGATCAGGATAACAGATGAACAAGGAAGCTTTAGGAAGGGTAGGGGTGTGTGTAGACCAAGTGTTTGCAGTGAAACACATAGGTGAGCAGTATTTAGATAAGGGTAAAGAGGTTTTTGTGGCATATATGGATTTAGAAAAGGTGTATGATAGGGTGGATAGGGGGACAATGTGGCAGATGTTGCAAATGTATGGAATAGGAGGTAGGTTATTGAAAGCAGTGAAAGTCTTTACGAGGATAGCGAGGCTCAGGTTAGATTATGTAGACGAGAAGGAGGTTATTTCCCAGTAAAAGTAGGCCTTAGACAGGGATGTGTGATGTCACCATGGTTGTTCAATATATTTATAGATGGAGTTCTAAGAGAAGTGAATGCTCGGGTGTTGGCAAGAGGTGTAGGGTTAAAAGCTAAAGAATCTAACACAAAGTGGGAGTTGTCACAGTTGCTCTTTGCTGATGACACTGCTTTTGGGAGAGTCTGAAGAGAAGTTGCAGAGGTTGGTGGATGAGTTTGGTAGGGTATGTAAAAGAAGGAAATTAAAAGTGAATATAGGAAAGAGGAAGGTGATGAGGATAACAAAAAAATTAGGTAATAGAAGATTGGATATCAGATTGGAGGGACAGTGTATGGAGGAGGTGAATGTATTCAGATATTTGGGAGTGGACATGTCAGCAGATGGGTCTATGAAAGATGAGGTGAATCATAGAAATGATGGGGGGGGGGACAGTGAGTGGTGCACTGAGGAGTCTGTGGAGACAAAGAACTTTATCCATGAAAGCAAAGAGGGGAATGTATGAGAGTATAGTTATACCAATGCTCTTGTATGGGTGTGAGGCATGGGTGGTCAAAGTTGCAACAAGGAGAAGGCTGGAGGCAGTGGAGATGTCAAATCTGAGGGTAATGTGTGATGTGAATATAATGCATAGAATCCATAGTTTGGAGATTAGGAGGAGGTGCAGGATTACAAAAAGTATTATCCAAAGGGCTAAGGAGGGGTTATTGAGATGGTTTGGACATGTAGAGAGAATGGAACGAAATAGAATGACTTAGAGTGTATAAATCTGTAGTGGAGGGAAGGCAGGGTAGGGGTCGGCCTAGGAAAGGTTATGGGGAGGGATTAAAGGAGGTTTGGTGTGCGAGGGGTTTGGGCTTCCAGCAAGCATGCGTGAGTGTGTTAGATAGGAGCAAATGGAGACAAATGGTTATTAGGACTTGACATGCTGTTGGAGTGTAAGCAAGGTAACATTTATGAAGGGATTCAGGGAAACTGGCAAGTTGGACTTGATTCCTGGAGATGGGAAATACAGTGCTGGCACTCTGAAGGAGGGGTGTATGTAACATGTACATATAGTCATATTAGAGGGAAAGTACTAAACATTTAAATGTCAGTATTTGGGAACCTGGAGATAATTGGTTGGATCCAAGAAAGGGGACTGTAGCTAAAAATTCCTTGGATGAAGGACCCTTTACTAACTTCCTCTTTCCTGTTGAAGGGTTAAAGGTTGTAAAGACAAATTAAAAAGTTCCCAGAATGGTGTATTTTACATGACACTTGGTTTGGCTTGACTTGATGGGATAGATCAGTCTTTTGGGGAAGGGAGTATGACTTAACAGAAAATTTTGTCTAGACAAATTGATTTTTCTTTTTGTAATAGTATCCATCTTTAAAACTGAAGATTATTAGTTACGTATTTCTGATTTATTCATAATGAAAAAATAAACTAGGTACATTATTATTACAAAAACCAAGTGCTAAACCCACCAGGATCATACAGCACAGCAGGGTAGGATATATGAGCTTTGTAACATGTGAGCTGTATAGCTGTGGCTTAGCACTTCTTTTTGATTATAATAATAATGTAACATGTGAACTAGGTGCAACAAAAAGATTCCTTGCTTACGTATGACATATTTGTTGAATTACAAGAAAGAACAAATAGAATACTGCAGTATAATTGTTGCTTTCTCATTAATGACAGATATTGAAGTGCCTCAAGATGCTCAGGCCAGGGTGGTGGGCTGCTGTGAACATGATTACTGCAACTCTGCTGTCACCAAGTTGATGAATCCTCTCCTCTTGCTCCTGCCTCTCATGATGTACTACTTGCAGTGCTAGGCTCACATGCTGTATTGGTTAGTAATAAGACATGCTTTCACAATACTTTATTATGGGGGAGTGCTAAACCTGTAAGAATTATACAACTGTGGGGAAGAGGGAAAGGATGGAAGGTATTCGGGTTCAGTTCAGGGTACTGGAACTCTCATTCAATTCCCTAGATCAAGAGCCCCCTACCAGAATCAAGGAGCCTCCCTTATGGGGCACAATACTTTATAAAAGGTTAGATACTTGGATAATTATTCCTTAACCCTTAAACTGTTCAAACGTAGATTAAAGTTCACCCGGGTAGCACTCTGGACACTTGAAAGCGCGTAAAATAAAATTTAGATCTAGGTTTAGACAGTTTAAGGGTTAAATGGCTGCATACAGTTAGAGATTCAGGAGCCAATTTTATGAATAATGAAAATTACCTATATGTATGTTTTTTATAATAAAGTAATAGGATAAAAATCATAGTAATATCCTGATGATTAGTTAACATTTTCTTGATTAGTACTTCTTCCTAGGTAAGCCATCTTTTCCCTCCTTGATATTGTCTGAATATGGAGTGTGTACCTTATGGGTTTAGTGCTTAACTTGATAAACCAATAATAATTATAATATAATGTGATGATTCACAAATTGTCAGCTTTAAACATAGTTAAGATAATTATTATTATAATCAAGGGGGAAGCGCTAAACCCGGAGGATTATACAGCACCTGGGGGGGGGGGGGGATGTGGAAGGCATTCAGGCTTAATTCGGGGAACTGGAGCACAGATCCAATTCCCTAAATCAAGAGCCCCTCACCAACATCAAGGAACCTTCCTTGAGGGGATAGTTAAGATAAGATTTCGTTCGGATTTTTAACCCTGGAGGGTTAGCCACCCAAGAAAGTCGGTGCATCATCGAAGACTAACTTATTTCCATTGGGATCCTTAATCTTGTCCCCCAGGATGCGACCCACACCAGTCGACTAATACCCAGGTACCTATTTGCTGCTAGGTGAACAGGACAATAGGTGTAAGGAAATGTGTTGATATGTTTCCACCCACCGGGAATCGAACCCGGGCCCTCCTCGTGTGAAGCGGGAGCTTTAGCCACCAGGCCAGTTACTGTAAACTGTTTCTCATTTTTCATGTGGTGACATTCTTGAAAGATTCGATTTTTTTCAGTGCAAGTAGTCTCGCCTATTTCTTACATCGGGAAGTGATAAATCCACAGGAAAAATGGGGGTAATAAATTAATTGAGAAATGGGAGGTCTTAATGTTGGTTTCAAGAAAGGAAATGATAGTTTTCCCTAGTAAACTACTGTAACATTCCTCCCTATAACTTTTCCTCTTAATTTTTCACACTTCATCCCCTTACTTTTTTTTTTCTTTAACTTTCCTCCAACTACCTTTTTCCATTATCTTTTTTTCACTGTTTTCTACATTTTACTCTACTCTTCTTTTTCTTCCTCCTGGCATTTCTCCTATGTATAGGTTATTTGTGTATTGTTCCAATGACAGTATTGTGCCTTTTTATTCTTTCACTAAATTACAAGCCCTTTATCAACATCAAGGCATCCCTCTTTATTAGTATTACAATCAAAACTAATTATTATTATAATCAAAAAGAAGCGCTAAGCCACAAGGACTATACAGCGCTGCCAATCAAAACTAAGCCCTAAACCCACAAGGGTCATACAGGTCTCTCTTGAAAAGTGGGTAAACTACAAAGTAAACTGTCTAGTCAAAGTACGTTTAGTATAAGGGAAAATTCCCTCAATAAATGGTGCCTAGACATGGTTGGTTTCATATTAATGGTATAACAGAATAAAATGTAGTTACACATCTTTATTGCTGAAATGTTTCACCTGCTTTCCAGACCGCGTCAGTCGAATACAGAAGTGACTAAATATTGGAGAGGACGGAAGCAGTGGAGAGGTCAAGATCGGTCCCTTGGCCTTTTATTGTGGTGGTCAGTCCTTGAACCTTGAAATGTTCTGCTCTGTATTGTCAGTCATAGCTGAATTATTATAATCAAAAAGAAGTGCTAAACCACAAGGGCTATACAGCATAGCTGAAGCATAAGAATGGGGCCTTTCATACTGGATCCAGAAGTAAGGTGCTGAATTTAAGAATGGCATCACAAACTGCAGGACTCACTAGTAGAAGAAAGAACATAAGAATTCAAAAGTGCTGCAGTATGCCTACTTCATGTTTCTTTTGATGCCATATCTAAATTCAGTACCTTGCTTTAGACTCTGTATAAAAGGCCTTTTTCTCTTTCTTCAGCTTTGACAATGTGGTGTGGAACACTTAAAGGCTGAGGGAATGACCACCTCAAAACTACTAAAATTGTGGCCAAGGGACTTATTACTTGATTATTACCTTTCCATTGTTTCTGCTGTCCTCATTATTTACCTCTGCATGTGAAGCAACCTGCAGAGCAGGCAAAACACTGACAAAAGTGCCCAGCTGTTTAGGCTGAATTTATTGAAAGGGTATTCTAGGTTTGAAGCTAGAAAGTGTTGTTTCCACAGTAAGGTACCAATACAGTGTTAGGATTCACCACAAAAGGCTGCTCTAAAGGTTTTTAAATTGCAGTTAGGACCTATTTTTTTTCAGTACGTTAGTAGGAGAAAGGAAATTTATTTTTGACTGATTTGGATTCATCTTTCTTGGATTGAATCAGATCGTCTTCCATATCCCAGGCACTGTATGACACCAAAGAATCAAAGAGTGCTCTCATAAATATAATAGCTCAGCATTAAATGGAGTGTGCCAAAGTCTGTGGTATCTGCTAATTTTGATAGTCTAAAATGGAGTCATTGTCCTATCCCTAGGGTTAAATATTGTTAGCCATGGACAGTCCCATAACATATTTGACTTGTTTGGTAACTTGCATGCTGTTAACCTCTTGAAGGTGCCTGGATGTTGAAGGACTCTTGGTCCAAGGAATTTTACATATCCTCCCTTTCCTTAGATCAAACCTTATTGCCTTCGTTCTGCAGGTGCTGTATGACCCTTACGAGTTAGTGAAAAACATTAAATACGGTGGAATCCTGGTGTTTGAACTTGACTGGTTCTCAAGTGCTGTTTGAACTGCAAAAAGTTTGATGTCCGATTCAGTATTTCTCAGTCTTTAATTATCAGACACTCACACTGGAAGATGTTTGACCAACTCTTCCAAAAGCCTGGAGTTAGGTCAGTGTCAGAGGTCATTTCAAAGCATTTTTGAAGCAGGGTTTTACAAGAAAGTTTTTTTTACAACTGAATTTTAAACAAGTCAGTATGTTCAAACTCCAGTAAAATGTTCAAAGACCAGGTCAGTTTTTCTGAACGAAATTAATAGGACTCTGGTTAGAGGTCCGGTGTGTTCGAACAGAAGTTCCACTGTACACTAAACCTTTTATTTAACAGACTGAGGAAGGGTGGAATGTGTGATTTGTAATGTCAGGTGTGGAGGCTAGAGAAAAGATTTTGCTGTTATTGTAACAGATTCTGTCAAAGACCTAGCAGATTTTCTGTATTTGTGGTCTGTTGAAAGGAGGATTTACTGTGGAATGTAATATTGACCTAATATTCTGTGGGTTCCATCAATATTTTGCAGTCAGACTATGAAACTGATTGATACTATTACACTATAGAACAGTTCAAAAAGTAATTTGGTATATTACGTAATCTAAATTAACTGTTCCTCATTTTGACATTAAATTTTTCAGAAAGAATGGATGCCCAGCAGACTGCTTGTAATGAACAAGACACTGGTGCTGGCATGTTGTGCAAACCATGCTTTCTTAATTACAAATTTTAGAGAAATACTGCAGGTGATAGTTAAGTAAATCATTATTTGGTAATAATGTTTATAGAAATAAGATGTGTAATTTGCCTAATTTTAAGTTATAAAAAAAAAAAGTAACAGGGATGAAGTGTAATAGTTTACAATAAGAGTAAATGTGTCAATTTTTGGATTTTTTAATTTTGTGTATTAATAAAACTCATTATTATACAATTAAATTATAGCACTAATTTTCCCCAAAACTGGTATTTTCAAAGATAGAAGAGATTTCATTTAACACTTTAAAATGTAAAGTTTTATATATGGCATATCTTCAGCATTGCATTTATTTCAAATTTTTCTTTTCAAGTCGGTGTTTTTAAGGCAATCATTGAATGTGGCACGATTATGGTCCTGAAGATGCTGACTTGATTTTAATGTACATTACTGTTTAAAAGACTTGTTCCTGTATGCATAATATGCTCAAGTCACTTGTTAAAAAATGTACATAAACTGTTTAATCTTTTTTTTTTCCAATGATTTTTTTTTCCAAGTAATGAACCAGTTAAACTGTCTTCACTTGTATGTACATTCAGCAGTTTTGCATTATCTGTCCATAAACTACTTTGAGCTAGTTGCAAGCAGAAATGTCAAGAATACCCTTCTGTCAAGATCTTCCCCACATGAAGCAGTAAATTATGCTAATGCTGGACAAACTCATTTAACACTTACTTGGATTCACATTCAAACATTATTGATAGTGTCTTGCCCTAGTAGATGCACAAGTTTTCAATTCGGTGAAAAAATACTTCATTAAGGCACAGTTTGTGTGTAGTTTTTGCTAAATCATTCTAATTTTTAATGTTTAAACTGAAAAATGAACTAGAGATCTTTGTTACCATTTTACGGTGGAAAACAAAATTGCTACCGAGTAGTTAATTCATCCATTACTTGGTAATTCTCACATGATCATTAAAATATTTATTAATTAGACTTTTGATATTCAGATATTCTGCAAGAGCACAGCCATTTTAGGACTAAATGAAGATTCCTACTAAGGCCCACTTAATATATTTCCTCATCTTTGTGCTTGCACTGTACGACCCTCGTGGGTTTAGCGCTTAATTATAATTGCAATAATAATTACACTTGTTCCCTAACATGCACTATACATCACTGACATTAATAATAGTATGTATTAAAGCATCCTGTAGTGAAGCAAAAGATATTTGCTACTGAATATGGATACTTTAGAGTTTAAAGAATGAATTCCCTTAGAATTTTAATTGTCAAAAATATGCCTCCACTAGGGTATTTAAAAAAATTAAACATACATAGCAGTAATTTGGAAAGATCATAGTATTCATAGTTTGCCCAAAACAAAGATTACTCAATACAAAGACAGTACAGTATTTAGATGTAGCATGCTTTGATTAAGAGTTATGTTAGTGAAGGGAAATACAGGGGACCCCCACGAATTCGCAGTTCCAAATTTGTGGCTTCAGTAATTCGCTGATTTTTTTTTTTTTGGCTGTTTCATGGCAGTATATAATTTTTTGTTTTAACAAAATATTAAGAAAAATATAATTTTTGTAACTGTAAATTCAGCAAAATTTCCACATAAAATGCAATACATACTGTATAAAATTTTTTTAGTGTTGTAGAGAGAATGGTATCGTTCATTATTGGAGAGTACCTGTACATTTAACTTTACTTTCAATAAATTATTACCTTATGTATACCAAAGAAGCTGAGTTTGAGAATAAAGTGTTTTGGGGGCATATTTAGGGTTTAAACAATGAAAATAGACACAGGCATTTTTTAACCACATCCAGAATTCACTTTTTGCAAATTCTAGGGTGGTCTTGGAATGTAACCCCTGCAAATTTGGGGGGACTACTGTAAAGCTAAAATTCAAATTAAAAGATTGATTAATTGAAGTTTTAATGAAGTTAGGTTTGAATAGTAATAAGAATTACAATTAATGTTAAGTTACCAGAAGGTGCATGGAGTGAATGATGTAATTAAGCATAGAACTTAACAATTCATTGTTTCATTTCCTGATTATAAAAAAAGTGCTAAACCTACATAGGTCATACATTGCTTTAGTTTCTTGAAATGTGGTACACAATTCCACATTTTAGGACCTTGTGTTTAGATGAATTATTATTATAACTAAATACTAAACCTGCAAGTGTCATACAAAACATACTAAGGAGAGGCATTTTTGAGTGTAATGCCTTTTGTTAATTTTTGAGGATGCATCTTGGGCAGCATTAGAGAAATTTTTGCAATTAGTATGTCCCTGCCTTGAAACTGAGTTGAAGGACATTCAGGTATATTGTACTTTTTGCTTTGTTGGCTTCTCTTGCCATGTGATACAAAGGTTTGGTATTCATAACTTGTGGTGCCTCCCAGTTGATCCAAAATATTCGGTGTTGCTCTAATAAAAGAACAGTATTCATTAAGTTTATTCTCGTGTGTACAATGCATCCACACAATTATTAACCTACTTTTTAATATTCACCTACAATGTGCAGGGATTGATCTTGATCTGCAGCATCTTTTCCAGAAGACCATTAATTCTTCGGCAAACTGCATTTTTATGCATATCTAGTTGTACTACCTCACTTATATGGATATTTCTAGTAATAGAGGCATAATCAAAGACCTGAAAATAAATGAATAAAAGTTTTAATTACTAAAAGTTAGTGGGGGACACTGAATCAGACTAAAAAATTCAGTTTAAGCCAAAATATTTCTCCAACTTTCCTAGCTTGTACAACACTTAGAAATTTAACATATTCCATGGGTTCACATAACTGAATTCCCCTCAAAATGCTTTTTTATAGCTTATTAGTGTACAGTATTTGGGGGAAGGAAGTGGAAAACTCTCAAGGCATACAACACTTGGGGAAGGGGGGTTAATATGTTCAAGGAAGGAGAACAAGAGTCCAGTTCCTGGCATCAGGAGCCTGTTGCATGCATCAAGGCACCTCCCTCAAGTGTTTTTACAGAATAACTGTACTGAGGATTGTTGGAAGTTAGCATATTCCCTGTAGTCCTTAAAAAGTAATAATAATACACATTTACTGCAAGTGCATGTACAAAGTATAAAGGCCTAGCTGACATCAATGACATACTGTACTATTATACAGAAAGCCCCTTGTTATGCGGAGCATTTCGGGCAAATTAGGTCAGTTTTGTCCCAGGATGTGACACCAGTCGACTAACACCCACACTCATTTTACTGATTGGTGAACATAGACAACCGGTGTAAGGAAACACGTCCAATGTTTCCACCCCTTTGACAAGAATTGAACCTGGACCCTATGTGAAGCTAGAGCTTTTGCTACCAGGCCACGGGGCACAGTGGCCTGGTGGCATCAGTGTGCTAGTTCTGTAATATATTTGAGGGAACAATTAACTCTAGAGACCTTTTAGTACCTGGGGAAACTGGAAGCTATCAGTTAATCCAAAAGAGGGTATAGCCATTTTGTTGGATAAGAAAGCTTCCCTGGTACCCATCGAGCACCTTTCTATACAGTAGTACGTCATTAATGTCAGCTAAGCCTGTATACCTCCTCCTACATGTACATGTAGAAAAATGTATAAAAAAACGGGGGGGAGGGGGGCACATCTCACGAGAGGCCAATTCAGTAAAATTGGATGTGAATAATAGCAAGTCATGCCATTAGCATAGGAGTCAATGAGTTGGTATTTTAATATCTGCTATACTGGAAGCATTAAATCAGTAGGTCATGTAGTGCCTAGGGAAATGGGTAGTAGTCTAGTTAAATTCACAAGTTCAACTCTTCACATCATGAGTCCCTCACTGGTATCAAGGAACCCCCTATAAGAGGTTCAGTACTTTATCACTGGGTGAAAAGGTGGTAAAATGTGTAGACAAACCATATTAAGTCCAACACTATTATAATAAAAAAATGTGTAGATGAGGTTTATCCAAGACTTATCCTGACTTTCCTCCTTAGCATGCGAGCCTAATATCGTTACTGTTTTTCCAGACAACTTCAGTGTAGTATAGTACTATGACCCATAGGAATTCTGCTTTATAACTGAAATTAAAACGTGTAATAATTCATATTTCCCTACTAATAAACAATTTAAATTTTTCTCCTTAGCAAAATGAGCCTACACTAACTACCAAGTGGCCCATATATTTAATATTAAAATTTCAGCCTTTGATACCCTTCATGCTGAAGGGCTCTTAATACAAGGAACTGAAGCTACCTTACCTTTGAGAAAACTTGATTGTTTGTAATTTCCTAAGTGTTGTATATCCCCTGTTAATACCTTCCCTTGAAAATTCAGTAAGTCATTGATGAATCTTTGATGGAAGAAGCTTTTTTTAAGCAGATATTTTCAAATACAAAATAGTTTTTAAAGCTTTAACTATACCCCTAGATGCCAGCACCTAGTGCACAGAAATGCATTGCATTTCTGTGCACTGGGTGCTGGCTTTTTGGGCCTACTTTTGTACCAATTCATGTATATCCACTCCATTCCTTTTTATGACTCAAAGAAATAAAAGTATTATAAAGCTGCAAGAATTCCACATCTCCTTATCAGAACAATATAATTTTAAATAACCGTTCATCTTCAATACTTACCGAAATGTAGTCCAAATGAGAATTCTTAATAAATCATTATGAATGTGATGCAGAGGCTTGAGAAGAAGAGTATAGGATGAATGAAGCAGTGTACAGCAACGTTGCAGTAGTTGCTCATGCAGCAGTACACTAGCGCAAGTCTGTCTCTCGTTACAAAAGAAAAAACGATCAATATGTTAAATACTGAATATACAGTAATTAAAATAAAATGTGGAATCTGTCAACGCTGCCAGGAAAATAAAAATACTAGCTAGATACCTGTGCACCCACATCACACTATCTGGAATAATAGTTCATGTCCTACACCATCAGAGGATTTGGAGGAATTATGTACACAGCAGTAGCATGTAAATGAAAGTGATTAGGTAAGGAGGGAGTGTTCATAACAGTGATGCAAAACTTTGAAAAGGAAAGGATGAGGTACATGCTTGAATCGGTACCTCCTAAGGGGAAGTAGAAAAGAAATGAAGGTGAACAGAAATGGGGAGTAGATTAAGGAAAGGAACTGAAGTCAGAGACAAAGGTTAAAAGAATATAATAAAGGCAATGACAATTGAAAGTGTCAGCCTTACTAGAATCAGTGATTACTTTCATGATATTTGACTGTGGTCTATAGAAATTTAAAACAGATTGCAAGATGTTTATAAACTGTCAATGCTGTGAACTAAAATCTAGATATTGACTATCTATTGAAAGAACTAAAGGCACCAAGATACAGACCTTTTCCTTGGTGTTGGACAGCATCTATCTTTAACAGAATAGCTATTGAAGTAGATAAACATGCCTGATCCCTATAGTAAAGTTTAAATAGCTCCAAGACCAAATAAAGAACAACTTGCCTGTCAGTAACCCAAGTAAAGTATGGCAAAATTAAGAAAATTTATCTTCCAAGACATGTTGCTGACTTGGCCAAGTGATACATCACTTCCACGACATCCTGCACTATAAACCAAACCAGGAGGCTTGGTTGATAATGTCCTCAGCTCTTATACACTTAAGGTTCGGAATCAATCCCCAGCATTGGTGAAATGTTGGACACAAGAGAGACTACCCAATCACAATGGAAACATCTAAAGAAAATAACAGCAATTAAAATCTGAGAATTATTCGTTGAGGTAAAGATGAAGAGAGGCATTTCAATGTCTGAAAGTAAGGGGTGAGGAGAAAGATAAAGATTGTATATAACTTTTTTAAAAAACACAGACTACATTGCAATGGAGAAGAATTTGGTTAAACAGTCTAGTGTACAGATAAGTGCACACTAGAAGTGCACTTTCATTGTAGGAGGCATTGGGGTAAGGATGGAGACATGAAGCCAGGAACCTAGCGAAAGTGTAATTTCTTGGAAGCAAATAAAGAAGAAAACTGGAAAATGAGCATCAGGAGTGCCCTCAGGTTTCCCTCCATTTACTATTCCATTGTAATATAGTAAATAGTAAAATTAATGTCAAGTGATCACTTAAGTCAGGTTTTGGTGGTAGAGGGAAGTTTACTAAAAAACTTACAGTAAGTGGTTGTGAAACAAGATTAGTAGGTTGCTGGGCAGACAGGAGAAAGGTTAAAAGTGGATTAGACTATTACTGCACTTTAGGCTTGTGGATGTGGCTTTACTGCATTTGAGATTATCTGGGATGATGATCATAGTGTATAGAGCAATTAGTCTACAAAGCAATGGGTGTTGTGTACAAAAGCAGAAATGGCTTCTATCATTTAATCAGAAGGGAAAGAAAGTAGTCTGCCCATAATGCCATTGCATGATAGTGGCTCTTTTTACACTGCAACTCATTGTAACTATAGGATCTCAATGTAAACTTGCAAATAAATAAAAATTGTATTGCATTGAGACACTAACTAAGGCACCCTTGAACCTTTTCCTCTATCACCCGAGGACAGATTATGTAGGCTGTGTAGAATCAAACCAAAGAGGTTTCGTGGGAAAGTGTTTCACATGTATCGAATACAAAAGGTGATGGAGATGTGCCTTTATCCGATAGAAATTGGGAAGACATGTGAACATAGGATATTCTGAGCAGACTACTACTGCGAAGTATCATAGCTTGGCCATACGACATGCCCTTTTTATCATCTGGGAAATGGTAGCAGACCTTCAGAGCTTGCCCTCGAAATGAGATGAGGTAGGATAACTGCTCTTACCCTGTAGATTCATCTGTAATAAACAGCTGATGCAAAATTCATGTCCCTCGTGTTTTGACTGCCATTCTTAAAATAAACTAATAAACTTAAAATAAAACTAATATAAAATTAATGGGAGAACTTCAAGCAAACTTCTCTGCAACTGCTAATAATCCGATCAGACAAATCGTGCTTAGTGGACGGTGGATCCAGCCTTAGCTACTTTCTGCTCAATGACCCCCCAGCACAGGTTTAGCACTACACTTTCAAGTCTTACCCGTGTCTGAGAATCTCTGGTAGACAAAGTTGAGCAGCGTGTTGGCCAGACGTTGAGAGTCCCCCAAGCCACAGTCTAATTTGTTAGCACACTGCTTAAACTCCCCAGAGATGGTGACAACTTTCTGAAAGATAAAATATAACCCTATATGTAATTATATCCATAGAGCATTAAGTACTCCAGGGCCATTCTGTGCTGAACAGCAGAGGTGACAATATGAAATACCAACAACTATTCAGTCTCAGCTTCTGGGTTCAATAAAATTTTTGACCATTTATATTTGAGAAACTAATTGTTGAAAGGAATGTGCAGTAGGAAGCAATGACATGAAAATAAATTGCTAAACAGCACAGCAATAGTCAATCACTTGCATTAACAAAATTTGCTCAAATATTTAAGAACCTAGGGAGGAAAATATCATTAAATGACAAGACTTTTAAAGTCTCGGCATAAACATTTTTATTTTATAATGAAAATGCTTAAATATAGCTATGACTAACTGATGAAGAACATTATTTAAAACAGAGAAAAGGGGTTCTTCGTCATAGGGCACCTGGGGAATGCAAGGCAAATCAGATTTAATCTATTCAAGGGGAACTTCAATTTCCTAGATGAACACTTCACCAGTATCAAGACATCCCCCCATTCTTCGAGTATAATTATTACAATCATAACTAAGCGCTAACCCCATTCCTCGAAAAATTAGTTTTAAATGAACCCTCGCCTCCTCCAAAGAAAATGTGGTATTACAAATCTGGACAACTGTTTACCAGCAGTCTTTAATAATGCAACCCTCCAGCCAACAACTGAAAGATCCACGAGACTGACTTATAAATGTGATATAAAAAAAATGGTACTGACCATGCAGGCAGGGTCACTCTCATTGCATCTTGAAATTACACCAATCTCCTGGTCACAAGTCTGGCAGTCTATGCAGTACAGTGTCTGGCCTCCCTGAGGCAGCACCAGCACTGTAGTCACCACCATCACCAGCCACCACATGCAACAACCTGAAGGAGGTTAAGTTGATAATTTGAGATTTAAGTTCTACAGATTATTATATGCATTGGGAAGCACTAAACCCATAAATTATATGAAACACCTAGGAAATAAGGGAAGGGTGAATCAAGTTTGAACCAAGGAAGAGGGCAATAGCCTCAATTCCAAATCAAAATCATTTATTTCCTTGTAAAACTTAGTGTATGGTTTACATGTTATAAAATATTAATTACAAAGGCCACTAGCATGCTTTGGCATTTTGGGCAGACTAATACAGTGGAACCCCGGTTTTCGTCCTTAATCCATTATAGGTCGGTCGGTCAAAATCCAAAATGGACGAAAACCGAAGTAATATTTCCCATAAGAAATGAGGTAAATCCAATTAATCCGTTCCAGACACCCAAAAATATTAAAAAAACATTTTATAGAGAATAACTAGTTTTTTACATACAGAAAACAATGAAAAAATATAAAGACTAATTTTAATGGATAAATGAACATTTAAATCACTATTACATACCTTTATTGAAGACTTGTTAGCCCACTCACATCCAACCCCATGGACTTCCCCAAAACCACAATAGATTCCACAGCAGGCATAGGGTTGTCAAGTTTACACTAACATATTAAGTTAGTAATAGAACTAGGCATTAAAAAAACACACAAGTAAAACTCGTACACAGTACTACATTCATTACTTACCTTAAAATATTTGTAGTCTTAATGTAGGGCAAGAGGTAAGTAGCAGGTAGTGTAGGTAGCTGGTAGATGTAGGTATGTAGTCCGCCTGTCTACATACCTACACGATATTTAATGCAGTCCAGAGCCATATTATTACCATCGACATACCATGTTCACCGAATTTAATCGTTTCTAACAACTACCTTTAGATGCCATCATAAACAAAGGGAGAAGTAATGAATAATTCATGCCTAGAATTGTAAACAAAAGCGTTATATGTATTAAGGGGAGTGACTGGGCCAACGCAGATTCATACACATTCTCTGGTGCTGGAGCAGAGAAGATGCAATGTATTCCCTCTGCCCGACTACCACCCCTACATAGCATATAAACATTGCATGTTATATGCTATGTAATGTGTTTCTTATATAATTTTGAAGAAAATATAGATGGATTAATGAAAATGTCTATATTAACATAAAATAAGACATTGGATGTGCCCAAGTGATTATTATTATTAACTATATTAGTATTATTACTATGGCATTAAGACTAGAGGGACACTCTTAATGAACGAGTAACAAAGGCAGACAGTCATGAACGAATAAGTTTATTCAGGTATACACAAATACAGTAGATATTTTCATACAAAGCAGCAAACGTGGAGAGAACCTAGGATAACCCAAAAAAGTCAGTAACTTATTTCCATGAGCGGCTGCGTCCTGTGGCAGGCGGACGTGTCTGGTATGGAAGATTTCCCAGCGGGTGTATGAAACCCGGGGTAAAATTTCGCCCAAACAAATGGTCGAAATCCGAATTGTACAATATCAGCAACAGACGAAATCCGGTGTTCCACTTTACTAATTCATACTACTTATATAGGTTATGGAGCAGTACATTTGACATTCTTACATTAGATAAATACATAATTAGATACATACTTAATTAAGCACATACATAATTCAAATTCAAAATTTATTCTCTATAAGGATTACAATGCTGAGTTTACAGAATTTGGTTATTGTGTGGTTTACATGTAGTAAAATAATAATTACAGAGTGTACCACTAGAACACCTAGCATGGCTAGGCATTTCGGGCAGACTTAAATTAAATCTTAAGTTTAAAATATTACAAAATTATGAGGTTAGTTGGTATTATGGCTAAGTGACTAAATACTAGTTTGTGAGTTTAACAATGTGAATGCTTTTGTTTTGGCACTATACATAGTTTCAGTATTGGAGTATCACAGGCCAACTTATGACTAGTTAAGATTCATTATTTTGAGATTGAGATTGATATTTCTGTTTATGGTCAAATGGGTGAGTAAGTGTTAACCACCAGGTGGTATTCGTGTAATTAGTTGACAGGGTGTATCAGGGAGATAAGATGTTTTCTGATGGTAGTTTTGAAGGTGATGAATGTGTCTGCAGTTTTAGAATTTTCAGGTAGGGTGTTCGAGATTTTAGGGCCTTTGACATACATTGAATTTTTGTAAAGGTTTAGTCGGACACGGGGAATGTCAGAGATGTTTGTGTCTGGTGTTGTGCCTGTGGGTTCTGTCGCAACTATCAAGAAAGCGTTTTAGGTCAAGGTTAATATTGGAGTTTAAGGTCCTGTAGATGTAGATTGCACAGTAGTAAGTGTGGATGTACTGAACAGGGAGTAAGTTTAGATCTATAAAGAGTGGGGGGGTGTGTTGTCAAGGATGGGATTTAGTGATTATTCTTACTGCGGCTTTTTGTTGGGTTATTATTGGCTTTAGGAGTGTTGCTGCAGTTGAACCCCAAGCACAGATAGCATAGGTGAGGTATGGATATACAAGTGAATGGTATAGTGTGAGAAGGGCAGTTTGCGGCACGTAGTATCGTATCTTGGAGAGGATCCCAACCGTTTTGAATACTTTTTTGGTTATGTGTTGGATATGGGTGCTGAAGGTCAGGTTGTTGCCCTCATTATGCCTGGCAATTAGAGTGTTGTCGATCTTAATGTTAATTTGCGCATCTCCTGCTCTGCTACCAAACAATGTAGTAGGTTTTGTCAGTGTTAAGTGTAAGTTTATTGGCTGTCATCCAAGTCTGATATTTTGATCAGCTCCTCATTAACAATGGTGTTGAGGGTGGCAAGATTAGGGTGAGAGATGACATAAGTCGTGTCGTCAGCAAAGAGAATGGGGTTCAGGTGTTGAGATACGTTTGGAAGATCATTGATGTATATGAGGAAGAGCAGGGGACCAAGGACACTTCCCTGCAGAACTCCAGTATCAAGTGGCTGTGTTGTTGATGCTGTGTCTTTAATGGTGACATACTGATACCTATTAGTAAGGTAAGATTTGAAATATGCAAGCGCATGGCCTCTTATACCATAATGGTCAAGTTTGTGGAGTAGGATGCCGTGGTCTACTGTGTCAAAAGCTTTTCTTAGGTCAATAAAAATTCCTAGTGGATATTCCTTATTTTCCAATGCTGTGTAAAGCAGATCTAGCATTTTTATGATTGCATTGTTAGTGCTTTTATTTTTCCTGAATCCAAATTGGCAGGGGTTGAGTATGTTTTGTGCTGTTATAAATGAATATAGTCTCCTGTGCATGAGTTTCTCAAAGATTTTGGATAGCAATGGTAAGTTTGATATTGGCCTATAGTTGTTTAAATCTGTAGGGTCACCACCTTTATGTATTGGTGTAACCCTTGCCATCTTGAGTAGTTTTGGGAAGGTGCTAGTTTCTAATGACTTGTTAAAAAGTAATGAGATAGCATGTGAGAGGACATGGGCCGCTCTCTTGTACAATAATGGTGGGACATGAGACAGATTCCCCGAGTTATTTTTAAGTGATTTTATAATATCGGTGACTTCCATGGGCTCAGTTGGAGCAAGATAGAAGGAATTTGGGAAATTCCCATCTAGGTAGTCCCTGGCATGGGCATTGGTGCGTGGGATTTTATTGGAGAGATTAGAACCTATGGTTGAGAAGTCGTTTATCTTGTTAGCTGTGTCAGTGGGATGCAGTGGTGTTTCATTAGGTTTAGTTAGGGCAATATTCTTGTTTTTTTTTCAGTTTGTGGGTCCCTAGAATCTGGGAGTGTGTTTTCCAGGTCTTTTTTATATCTCCTCTTGTGTCAGTGAATCTACTGGAGTAGTATAGTTGTTTGGCTTTCTTTATTACTTTGGTGAGGACTGATTAATAGTGTTTAAGAATATCTGTGTATTAAGCCCCGTCTATATTGCTTTTCATATTGGTGTTTCTTATCAATGGATTTCAGAATGGTGCTGGTTAGCCATGGGCAACCAAGCCGTTTGTTTGTGATCTGTTTCGTTTTTTATAGGACAATGTTTGTTGTATAGTCTAAGTAATTTGTTAAGAAAAATGTCTGTCCAGTCATCAATACCATTGGCCTTGGAGAATTCTGTAGGCCAGTCAACAGTCTCTAGGTTAGCTGTGAACTTCCTTACTGAGGCCTCATCATGGAGTCTAAATGAAACTTTGTTGTATTCAAGTGGTGGTTTACTAATGTTTGTCAAGAGGAAGGTAGGGTAGTGGTCTGTAGTGCTATCTGTGATTATCCCTGATTTAAGGGGGGCTAGTATATTGATCCATATGTGGTCTATTATGGTTGCACTTGTTTCAGTGAGCCTGGTTGGTTTAGTTATTGTTGGTATGAGAAGTGTGTTGTTCATATTGTTGATGAAATCAGTTACAGGCTGATCATCTAGTAGGCCAAGGTTGATGTTGAAGTCTCCAGCTAAGAGAAGGTGGTGCTTATTCATTTGTCTGTTTGTTATTAGTGCCTTTAGTTTCTCACTGAAATTTGGGATGTTTGTGTGGGGTATCCGGTAAATGGCACCGATTGTAATAGGCGTCTTAAGGTTTTTTACAGTAAAATTAACAATAGTGAGGTAGAACAAATCATATACTAAAATTACAAATGGTAAATTTAGTAATGGGGCTGGATTTGTCTGTTTCCTGGAGTTTACCTGGAGAGTTTCGGGGGTCAACGCCCCCGCGGCCCGGTCTGTGACCAGGCCTCCTGGTGGATCAGCGCCTGATCAACCAGGCTGTTGCTGCTGGCTGCACACATGTAGACCAAACGAAATGTAAACTTTGCCAGATGGACTATTGTCACACATTGCGTCATTATGTACTGGAGTGTGATAAAATTAATGAATTTAGAAACAACTCACTCAGAAGTGTTCAAGAAATGGCTAAGTATTTTATCCACAGTGGTATATTGCAGACCATTCTGGAGAAATACCCTGACTTTGCTAGCTGTAAATAAAGCATTACCACATGTGTGCATGTGTGTGTGTGTGTGTGTGTGTGTGGGTGTGTGTGTGGGTGTGTGTGTGGGTGTGTGTGAGGTGTGTG